TGTTTACCAATTAATAAAAGTAGCATTAATGATTTAATATTAAATTCAAATTTTTCAAAAATTATTCAAATGAACTATTCAAATTAGGAAATTATAGTGCATATATTGATGGGCAATTTTTAAAACTTCACTATTTCTGAAAGAATTGTAAAATATTTTCTTGGTATATACAAGTTTTAAGACATACTAACTAAATTAAGGTACATATTCATTTAATTTTTAATAAAATAATTTTACAAATTCTCAAATCAGAATATTCTCTATTCTTTTAAATAAGGCATTTCCATGAGACAAATATTTTAATATTTTTGAACCAAGAACAGTAAATATTGACAAATTTGCCTTTAAAATATGAGTGCACTTTCAATTTTCTAAAAAATACGATTAATCTAACTCACATATGGAATTTTTATATTTTTTATATTTTACTTATACTATATTTTCTACTACATTATATCTATAATACAATTTCAGACATAAAGCATATGTATATATTTATTTTAAGGTTTTAAATATTCTAGATATATACATATACGTATAAAGTAAGTTTTCACTTATACATTTCTACTTTTTTTTATCAAAAATTAATTTTGTGTAAATAATATTGAAATCAATATTAAAATAACTAATAAATTAGAAAATTACATTTGATACGTACTCTCATCTATTTAACTTTAATTAGTAATTAAAATATTAAAGATTAAATATTACATACTTTTTTACTTTATTGGTCTGAAAAGGTATAATGAAGTATAAAGTGAAACTGATATAACAAAGAATATTAATTAAAAATATAAGTGTGAACTTTCTGGAAATAAATAAATGCACAACCACACAAATGTATTGATGGAATTTATCAATATTTAAAATATGTAATTTATTATTAAACTCGTATGAATTTTCTGCATTCTAAATACCGATCAAAAAAATTTAATATTCTGTGTAAGAATATTTAATTTATAATTTATTTTTTATTGCATATGTTTACCTAAAATATTAAGGTCCTTTACATGCACTTCTAATAGAAGTTCTAATAAAGCTATAATTTATTTATAATTAATTTATAATTATTTATAAAAAATTTATAATTGATCATTAGTTATTGTAGTACGTATTTCTCAAATTTAAAAGGTTAAATGTTTTAAAGGTCCGTTTTTTATATTTGTTAACGAAAGCAAATAATAAATAAAATATTGAATGCCCTCATATATATAACATTCGTTATATAATAAGTTATAACATTATTGTCAAACATTTAATAATTTATATTTAATAACCAGTTTAAATACCAAATGTGATTCAATATATGAATAAAGTCGGGCGAAATATTTCATATTTAACTGTTAACTGTTAAATATGTGATGATGCGGAATTCAGTTTTAATAATGCCATAATTAACATATCGTAAGTATCAACGAAATATACTTCATTTAAACACGTAGTTGTTCCGTACGTATAATCTGTTTCGAAAAGCTATTAATGCATCGCCTTTCCCCTCATATTTAAATGTTTAAGAGGTTCAAGAGCATATTTAAACGCTGTTTCAGGTCTGGGTATAGAAACTGCGTTCAATCAGTATATATTTTCTTTCAGTAAAAAACGTTCCGTCATCGTAAAATGGGATAAATAAGTAAAAAATAATAAATAAATCAGACCCGAACCTTACACTCGCATTTTGTGCCCAGTATTACAACGTTGGTATATGTGACGATGTTCGCTTCCCGCATTGGTGGGTAGCGTGGATAAACAAGAGCAAAATCCAAACTAAAAAACGCAGTAGTAAGCGCACTCTTTTGCAAAAAAAAGAAGCAGCGAAGGTGAACAGAGTAAAGCAAAAGAACGTCCAGTTGCTCGGATGTACTAATGCAATCGAAAACGAGTAAACGAGTGCAACGCAGGGCTTGACGAAATTCCTCAACAAAACAGTGATCACTGGGAGTCGTCGCAAATGCCCGACGTATCTCTGGAAATTTATATCCCTTATGGTATAAAGTACTTACCACCTCGCTGTTGCTTCGAGAGCGCAGCTGTCGTATGAGCTTACGAGGTCGGGTACCCGTCGTTACGGAGCTCTTCTCCTGGAGTTGAAATAAACCAGAGTCGAGGAGATGGGAGATTAAGGACAAAATACACACAAAAGTACATTCACGATTCTTACACGCCGTATTTTCACGGCTACGTGCGACTGATCGACTGTAATCCACGATCTTTCGTTCACGAACGAGTGTTTGCGGTTGGCGAGTAAAAAAAGGTGGGCTGCGACTAAAAAGGAAGCGAAAACTTTCGTCGGAGAAAGCCAAGAACGTCGACTCGTGACGTTTGTCGATGCGCACCGATATCGTGTGGCACGGACAAATCCCCTCCCTTTTAACCAACAACTTGAACAACGATACTCACGTTGTCGGTAGTAGACCGAACACCGCACCGCTCAGCCATCGACATCATTTGTTTAGTTGAGCCGAACCCGCGGCTCCTCTTTCCACTGTCGTCGAGTCACGAGCTATACCAGCCACAACGAATTGCAAGTATCGCCACTACATCAGTAAGAAAGATGAACATAAGCTCCCTCTTATGAAAAATCGCGAAAGCGCGAGCCGAGTCCTCAGTCGATCCGAGTCGCTGACAGGGAGTTTTGATGTTGCGCGGCATCACTGAAAAAATTAATACGATAATTATGGATAAATATTGCCGAATGATGAACGTGCTTTATAAGTTTCAAATGAAGAATATATTCTGGCGAGTGAGAAACCAATTGAGTCCCGAGTCCTAAGCTCTTGAATTCAATTTGAGCTTGGATACGCCAAAGAAAATTATATGAAAATACGAAATCAGACTTACTAATACTTTGTATTAATATGCGAAAATATAAAATAATTTCCATTTAAATCAGCTTAATTATTATATCTATAAGCAACAAATGGAAAACGTTACTTACTCTCAAATGAGAATTCAAAAGTAAACATTCCAATATTATTTAACAACAATGATTACTAATAATACTAAATAATGTATCAAAAATCTTAACGGAAAGAATTATATTTAATGAAATAGTAATATTAATAAGAAGCCTGTCATATTAATTAATCGAATAAAAACATTAACACAGCTTAAATCTTTACAAGTGAGTCGTGGTAATGAATAAGTATGAAATTCAAGCCTTCTAATTATATATAAAATGGTTATGAAATACATTGTAAAATGTCTGATCAATATTAATGACACGAATGAGTTTATCTTATCGATAAGCATTTTAATAACATTTTTTTCTTACAGTAGTTATAGTTTGATTTATATGTATGTAAAATAATGAAATTATATGCAAAACTTCTTGCAATAAAAAAATACATCCCTAAAATAAGGAGTCAAAAATCATACAGCATTATGTGATACGTTCATTTAAGTATTATATAATTTAATAAGATCTTTCATTTTTATTTATTTGATTTTATATCAGTTGTGTATATTTCTGCTTGTTTATGCATCCACTTTTATAGTAACACTCATATTTGATTAAATTATTTTTAAATATGTTAATTAAAATTGTATATGCATTAAATATTTTTTTTTAACAACTTAAAATAAACTATTATTTTTAATTATTTAACAATATACTGTCAAAATATATTTAAAAATAAGTTTTTGAAACATAAAGTTGTATTATATTGAAATTTTTAATGAATTTAAATACAATAAATACTCGCGTAAAAATATCTTATAATTAAATTATCAGTATTTTGGATTTTTACTAATATAATTATTTAAAATTTTTACTTTAAGTATTTGGATATTCATGAGAGATAGATAAAACTTTACATTACAAAATAAAAACTATAAATTAATAATTACAAAAACATTATCATTTCCTGAGAACATTTATATTTTGCAACAAAAAGATTTAATAATGATTTAATTATTTAATACTTAAAAATTCAATATTATGTTTCCAAAATTTTTTTTTTAATTATCATATTATCCGAATCATATTAACTATTTGTCTATAAATAATAAATAATATTGTAAAATGAGTGACAAGCATCTTAAATGAAACGTAGCATAAGTTAAATATAAGCAATTGAAAGAAATGAAATTTTTATATTTTTAAATGAGAGACAGGAGGAAGATAAGGACAAAATTTATACAAAACGTGGAGATTTTTTATATTTGCAATTTTCCTATATATATATATATATATATATATATATATAGTAGAATATAATAAAACTATTAATGTTTTATAATTTTAAAAATAGGGTAATTATGCGAGTAATTAAAATTAAATAAATTGTATAAGAAATAACTAAATTAAAATTTTATTCATAATTTCTTAATGTGTTACATATATCAATTCTTCTTGAATTGCATTTCTCAATTAAAAAAAAAAGTAAGTACGTAATGAATGTAGTAGACATCGTTTTCTTCATATTTTATATTATATTTGTATCTATAAACCTTATAATATATAAGGCATCAAATAATTTAATTACTTATCAAATTCAATAACAAAAGCGAAGCATAAACATATATGACAAAATTCATTTCCATGACCATCGTGACTTATTATTCATTCATGGTCGTATAATTTCAATTTGATAAACATGGTTATATACCTCATATAATTATTAAATAAATATAGTGTTATATATTTGAAAGGAATAATATTTTTAATTTTATTAGAAACAAAAAATTACATGACACATTTTATTTGTAAAATGTAACTCGTTAACAATATAGATTACCGGAATTTTTTTATGAAAGCAAATTTTTAATTTAGAATTTAGTCCCTAAGTTTAGATTCAATTTGCATTGAGTTTTATTGTAATTTAATCGCAATTAGTTTTAAAATAGCAAATGATAAAAACGAATCATTTTAATACGTTATTGCGCAGAATCGAGTGACCCTCCCACGCGTATTAAATAATAAGTGATATATAACGTCTTTTTATGACGGTTTAAGATATGAAAATATTGTGTCTATGGTTTTATAAAAAAAAAATAAATATTTTTTTTGTAAACATGCACATGTGATCATATTTACATAGTAAAATAGTTTAATCACTTATTTTTATTAGAAAGTAAAATAAAATGGAAAAAGATATTCCTGTTATTTATGGCTTGGAATTTCAGGTATTTTCGTAATGAATTATAATTGTACATAATACTATATGTACTTAAATTAAAAATAATTTATTTTATAAATATGCAAATTTGTTGTCAAATTATTATTAAATACTTTCTTTTAGTTATAAAATGTACATGAATTTTCAGGCTCGAGCTCTTTCAGCACAGATAGCAGAATTAGATACTGTTAGATTTTTTGTTGGGACACAATCACTAAAACTTAATAATAATCAGGTACATTTAGTTGAACTAAATGAAGAAACTGGTAATTTAAAAACCCAAATATTTCAACATCCAATTGGAGAAATTTGGTCAATACAAGCTTCACCTACTGATCCAGATAAATTTATAACCTGTTACAATACATTAACAAGTGAATTTTAATTTTATAATTACGAAATTATTAATACATTTTATTTTTCTTTATCTAAGATGTATTTGTTTTGAAAGATGAAGGTATATGTCAAATGAAAGGAGCTATATGGAAACTATTTATATCCCAAGAAATGAATGATATTATTCCACTTGAAAAACTGGCTGACATAGATACTACATCTTATGGTAATGATCTTAAAAATATTGCCTACCATCCAATTGACAATAAAAAAGCTGTATCAGTTGTAGACAATAATTTTGTTTTATGGGACTTAAGTTATAAGCCACAGGTATCTTAAATATATGTATTATAAAATTTACTTAATTATGTACTCATTTACGAATGTACCTACGTACAATTTACGAATATTACCTATGTACAAATTTTATAAATTTATTATATATTTATGTTGTATCAATAAATAAAATTTTCTTTAATAAATCAATGCATAAAATTTTATACTCATTTTAAAACATTAGGTTGTTACTGTAGGAACACTTGTAGGTAAAGGACAACCAAGATTTACAAGTGGTAAATGGAATCCACATAATACTTGTAATCAATTTGTTACACTGAATGAGAACAATGTTCAAGGTTGGGATTTTAGGGATCCTAAAGAACCTGCATGGTCTATAATATCAGCACATTCACAAATAATTAGGTATATCTAAATATAAACGATAATATCAATTACAAGTATTAAATAATTTATAATCTAGTAGAAAATTCTAATAATAAAATAGTAATGGTAAAATAAATATTTATTTATCAGTACAATAAATAATGTATATCATTGAATATTCATTAATATATCTTTTAGGGATTTAGATTTTAATACAAATCGCCAGTATTATTTAGCAACATGTGGTGATGATGGTTATATGAAATTTTGGGATATTCGAAATCTGTCTGAACCAGTAATGTCAAAAATAGAACATTCTCATTGGGTTTGGTCTATCAGAATAAATCATTTTCATGATCAATTAGTTTTAACGTCAAGCAGTGATTCAAGAGTTATTTTGTCTAGTATTGCTTCAATTTCCTCTGAACCCTTTGGTCATACAATTCCTTTAGAAGAAAATGTATCAATTTCAGAAACTTGCACTAAAGAAAGGTACGTTTCATAACTCATCAATTAATAAACTTTAATATAAATTTTACTTAGATGAAACATTTTTAAGAGTAAAGAAAATTGAATTTTCATCTTTCACTGGCAGATTAGAAGATGGAATAATAGGTAAATATGAAGAACATGAAGATAGCGTTTATGCTGTTGAATGGTCATCAGCTGATCCTTGGACATTTGCATCATTGAGTTATGATGGTCGATTAGTTTTAAACAAAGTGCCCCGAAAATATAAATACCAGATCTTGTTATAAATTATTAATATAAAAATTATTTTCTAGCTTTTAAATGAGCTTTAATTTATAAGTTGCCGTTAACTATAAATTTGTAATCAAAACATTTGATAAATAAACATCAATGTATATAATATTTTAAAAATTTATATATTAAAATATGTTAAAAATACAGTTTTTCATTATAATAAACAGATATTTTATTTTCATTAATTAATATGCAATTTCTTGTGTAACATTGGTTTTTTTACAATTAGATAAATAGTTTTATATTAAAATCGTTGAGCAATTTTACCTGCCATATTTCGTAATTGTCCATAAACTTTAGAAGGTGGACTTCCAAGAATTAAATTACATATGGATCTTCTTGCTAATTGTATATTTTGAAATGAACCAAGAATGTGTATTTTTACATCTGCTAGAATAATTCTAGTTTTTGTGACATTTTCAATTGTAAATTTTGTTCTTCCACCCTTTCCTGCTAAACGACCAATAGCTCTTGCTAAATGATCCCCTTTTAAAGGTTTTACATCTTGTATTTCAAAAGTTTCGATAAATAAATCATCCAAACGTAGTAATGCTAGTGCATCTTCAACTTCAAAACCATAAATAAATGCTTTCACAAAATCTGCACCTTTTTGAAGATTTGCTATGTCTGTAGTTTCTGGTGCTGTTTTCAATTCAATATTTCTTGTTTTTAAATTGAAACGAATTTGTAACTGAAGATGCTCAACAACCGGTGTAAAAATTTTCATCCAGTTTTCTTTTAATGGTGTATATCTATGAGCTGGCACCGAAATCTAACAGATAAATTCAGAACATCATGGATTATATTAAATACAAATTTCATTAATAAAACTTTTTTTATTGAAGCTTATTATAATTATTAATTATTTATGGATATGTTACTAACTCTTCGAATTTCATTTCCTTGAACAAACTTTATTCTTTTGAATGGAGATTTATTCTGAATTTGACCTTTAATATCATGTACTGTATCAACCTGAAATTAAAAATAAATTATAAATTACAAATATTTTTAAAATATAAAAATTGACAATACATTCTTTTAAAATCAAATCAAATTTTCAAACTATTTTTTTAAAGTTCTAACATATATTATTATAGTAATTATTGTTGTTGATAAGTATAATTTACAGAATTTATCAATTATTTATAAACATAACCTTATCAATTCATACCTCCATTTGAATTTCATTTTCATGCTTTCTTTTGCAATTTTTATTTTCCGAAGAAGACTCCATAATTTTATTATTTTTTATTTCCTTGTTAACCATTTTTATGTACTAATAATAATGAAGAATACGTTTTTAATTATTATTAAGTCGTCCTTAAATGCAATATTCGAAACACATGTTTGAAATCAAGTTTAATTAATCTGAAACCGCGTAATTCAAATTATCAATGATGACAATTGTTAATTAATTAAGAGACGTATTAAGTTATTAAATAAAAATTATATATACAACTATAAAGCCTTATGAGTTCATTATATTGTAAATATAATTATATGTGAAAATCGATTCTAATAAATAAGTAAACAGTTGATTTTTAAAAATGAAATATGAGCTAAGACATATTTCCCTAAACATAATAAATATCAATATTATATTTGTTTATGTAAGATAAATAATTAATAGAAAAAATACAATAATTATATAAATAATTAAATTAATGAAGAAAGTAAATAAATAAATGTGTTAAAATAAAGAAAAGCTAGAATTGATTGATAAACTATATTCATATCTTATTATTTTAATTTGCTAAAATTAGGATTTATTTAAATATATTTATTTATTAAATATACTAAGTGTCATGTTGCCAATTTACGATTGACAATTTAATAATAGAGAAGACTAAATAAATTAATTAATAAATTCGAAATTAAAGTAATTCAATTTACAAAATTACTGTAATAAAAAAATTAAATTAATCTTTAACCAAAAATGTTGAAATAGCTTAAGAAAATATATATAAAAAATATATTTATAACTATAGAAATCCATTGTTGTTTAAGTTATATATATGCAAAGTATTATATAATTTATATTTAAAAAATGTAATAATTTAATTAAATATAACATTTCAATTTATAGCTTAAAAATGAAAATATAAATTATACATTAAGTTTTTATATAATATATATATAAACTTTGACTACAATATTTAATGTAATTGAATATTTTCAAATGATAACTGCTTGAAATGCAATATAATAAACAATATTTCATTATAAAATTGATAATAATAATATAATATAATATTTTTAATAAAAATAAGAACATTGCAAATTTATAGTACAATGACATATGAAAAAATTCATAAAATTGTGATTTTTGAGGTTGACATCACATCCATAAAATAATTACATTTTTGAGTTCATAAAGTAGTTATCGAACATAATCAAATACATTTAGTATTGCAGAGATTGACAATTTTTATTTTATATTATAAAACTCATATAACTCTCATTTATTACTTATATGGTACTTATATGATTATTCATTATAATTTAAACATTATATATGATGTAAAAATTTTCGATAATTTTTTCTATAAATTAATTTGCAACATTAAGAGAAGATATTCATATGATTGTTTAAATTAAATCTGATTTAGTGTGTTATATTAAATTGTATATAAAAATACGAAGCTTTTGAGAAATTATGTTTTTATGCATCGATTTATTCAATTGCTCTCATCATAAATGAGCTTTATATCAATATTGAATGTTATGTATAGGTGTTGAATATTAGTATTTATTTTAGTGATAATATTATTTTCTGCAATTGTCATTGTATGTTAATCTTGGAAGATTGCTTGTATTTTTTCAAACAGTTTTATAAACTTTTTATATAATAATTAAGTTTTTCATTTTTCTAATAAATTCATGAAATTTCAGAAAGTTAGGCTTATACACATTTTAGACTCAAATAAACTGTATGATATAGCTTATCTCCTTTTACGGTTTTTCTTATGGCGTGGAAATTAAAAATATATTTCGAGAAATAATGTTAACGATCTTGAACGGCTGAACGTATCTAAATAGTCTATGAGACATCGGAAGCATATTTAAGAATATATTAATTGCATTACTGAAGAAAATGCACAATTTATGAATCATTAAATATTCATATATATTGATTACGCTAAATAAATGATACAATAATTCGATAATTAGAAAGAAATTACCGATATTTTTTGTTTTGTTTTTTTTTTTTTTTTGTTAAGAAAGATAAAGTATTTCAAGGATAACAATCAATGGTAGTTTTTATAAATAGTACAAATTTGGAAGTCCTACAATCTAATGAAAATTTTACAAATATTTGAAAATCAACTTATATCTGATTTTATTATTCCTTTATACCGTCAGACTTGTGAAATACGGATTATTATAAAACATGGTTAGTGATCTTTTTCATAATGTTAAGGTTAACGTATAATAGCTTGCATTGATAACAGTAGAAGTAATAAAATATAATGAATATGAACTATAAACAGTTGACTTGTATTTGATAATTCATCTTACCTCATTTTTCCTACTTTTATCAAAGCAAGCGCGCGTATATCTAATAAAAAATTTTTATTACTGCGCATGTGACTGACTATGCACTGATCCTGTTTATCCATACTTTTGTATTGGTAGACGTATAACTTTGGAGCTGAACTTTGCAATGTATTTTTAAAGCTCAAATATTTTATGCGCATGTACACAGCATACATGAATTATCTGGCATAATTTGAAATTTAATTTTTGTTAGTAGAAGATTATTTTCACATACTAATGAAAATCAGGAATTATTTGTAGCATACTGAAATATACATAGAACAATAGTTAATTTAAATGGAGATATGAGAATTGAGAATAATATTTAGCCTTTCTGAATCTAAAGTTAAATTCCTTGGTTCGATTCCAATTGTTCCAATGAAGTTTTATATATATATATTTTACGGCGCGGAGACGTAGAGTGCGTAATGTCTACGCACGCCATTGAGCATTATACACCAATTTACATTAGTTAAAAGCACAATTCCAAGAGTAAATTTTTCGAAAAAAGTAATTTTCAAAGTTATCTAAATGTTAGCTTTGTAACATTTGACATACCACGAAAATTAAAAATAATTTTTCAAAGTTTGCATATTCATACATTTATTGTGATCACAATTCTAACAAATTTACATCGGTTGAAATAGAGGTAAAGTACGCATAAGATTTATACTACAAGTAGAAAATAATTTTAAAGCTGGAAATTTTAAAAAGTGTTTATACCTCTAACAAAATATTACGGTTTGAACAATTAATGCTAACGTTGGGGATTATACATTATATTATGAATCATTTTTTGTTTCATTTTAGCGTGAGAAAATGGCGCCAACGAATAAGAAAAAAGGGGTTAAAGGTCCACCGGGTAGGCCAAAGCATGAAGTTTGGACTCTCGGTTTTCGCAGAGTTTTGAAGCATTGCGAAAAGACTCATCGAACAATTCCCGCTGCATTTTGCGTGATATGCAACAGTGTTTTATGCAATACAGCTTCTAAACGTTTGACAGCACACAGAAGAATTTGTAATATTGATCAGGCTAATCATTCAGAATTAATTGAAAAAAATGATTCAGATCCAAAAATAAAAGAAGTTACGAAAATTTTGACGACTGATAATTCTGCAACAATTACTTTTGTTGATATGGATGATACGGCTCAATTTGTAAATGAACAATCAACATCAGAAGATTTAGCAAAGACTGAATATACTTTTTTAGATAGTACAACCGAAACTTATGATGAATTTAAATTACAAACTGGAACTTGCAATGATTATAAGCTTGATACAGTTCTAACAAAATTTTTTATTGGCTGCAATATACCCTTTTCTGTCGCAGATTCTTCATATTTTAAAAAACTATGCCTTGCATTAAATCCAACTTGTAAAATTATATCGAGTGAGCAACTTTCAGGTTCTTTACTTGACAACGTTTATTCAAAATTTCATAAAGATGTAAAAGTCAGTCAAACATCAGTTTTACTTATTGATGGTTGGAAAAATGAAAGTACAAATACAAAAAATGTTACAGTTATGATAAGAACTGAAACAAGTGAAACAATATTTCTTGATAATTATGAATTATCAAACAATAAAGATATTGTTCAAGAATTAACTGATATTGCTAAAATGTCTATTATGGAAGCTTATGAACAATTCAAAACAGAAGTATATGCTATAATTATGGGCAATAGTTGGAGTTTAATTAAGATGGATGCAGTGAGCGAAGTCTGGCAATTCCCTTGCAATTCATATGTAATAAAAATTCTGACTAAAGAGTATATATCACAAGATTTTATGAATACTGTATGTAAAATTTTGAAGCAGTTAAATGTCATATTTAAAGATGATGATTTAGAAAATAAAATAAGTAGTGAAATGCGGTGGATTAACACTAAGTGTATTTTAGAATATTGTATTGCTAATATTGGAACAATTCAAACAATACTTTCTTCTGAAAATTTGATTAAATTATCTAAAGATTATAAATGTTTATTTTTTGATGAAGAATTTATACATAAAATTGAAAGTTATATTAATTTTCTTGATTCAATTAATGAACTAACTATAGTGTGTCAAACGCCTAAATCAAATATTGCAGATACAGCAGAACAGTGGCTGTGCCTTCAGTTACCTGATGATGATTCAGAAACTGCAGAAAAATTATTAGCACGACGCGATAGTGTATTAAAGATTCAATGTCTTGTAGCAAATTATTTGCATCCAGTATATAGAGGTAGAAAATTATCGGATAATCAAATGAATAAAGTTGAAGAATTTCTTCTTAATGAACTTGATTCTGATGGACTTAATAGCTTGCAATCCTATGTGAATGGTGACAGTATTTTTAGAGTTTTAAATCAGAAAGATGGATTATCATCTCAAACATATTGGAGTCTTGCTAGAAGAACTCATAATGATTTGGCCACATTAGCTTTAAAACTTTTAACAATACCAGCATCTATTACTTCTAATTTTTCACAAATTTTCAATACTATAAAAAATACTTCCCTAAAACCTGATAAGCTAAGGAAATTATTTGCTGTGTATTATCATTTAAAAGAAAAGGAGGAAAAATTAGAAGTAGAATAAATAAAAATAAAAGATTATAATCACAAAAATTTATATTAATAGTTAAATATATAAATTTTATTAAGAGTACGCAAATTATGTTATGCTCTAGATTTATTAATTTTACATTTAAAGTGTATACTTTTTGTATAGATTATTATATGTAAATTTATGATTTATATATTCAGTTATAGATATTATGAAAGTAATGTGTGGTAGCAATTATATTTTAAAAATAATTGTATATAACACATTTCAAGAGTTTGAATGGGGTTATTGCATCATTTTAAAATTTATTTTTTATAATAGATTACTTATAGAATTTTTCCTTTACATTCATTCATGTAGATCCGACTTTTAATCAGAAATTAAAATTAATTAAAGTGTAAAATGGTATATACTTAACCCACATCTAAATGATAATCTTTATTCCAAATTTGTTCTAAAAAGTAAATATGTTATCTAAAATAATTTAATGTGTATCATAGTTAATTAAAAATTAATTAAAACTTTAAATAATTCTATGACCTTATTTAAACTCTTAAGGTTTCTTATATACCTTGTATACGATTCCATTTATATTATAATAGTTTACAAATGTATATAAATACTATTATAAGAATGCATTGTAATAATATGACGAATAAAATAATTTTTTTTAATAATTGTATATTAATAAAATGATTCATTATGTAAGATTTATTTATGATACATAATAAATACAAAAGAAATGTTAGAAATGAATTTTTTATTCATTTGAATATTATCAAATTTGATAGAATTTATATATCGCTCTGTATAAATATAAGCAATTGTAATTTATATTTTGTAATATAATTGTGAAATTTGCATTAAACATGTAAAACTATTTTATGGAAAAATTTAATTCATCATTGATTCTTTCATGCTTTAAAATATAATTTTTTAAATAATGACAATGAGTACGCAGTTTTTGTAAATATCGTCCAGTAATTTAATTTCTCACAAAGTAATTTATAATAATTTTTCTTCAAATAAACCATAATGATTGAAACGTGATTTTTCTTATTTAATAGTGACAATTCTTGGGCATATATACAAAGTTTAAAAATAGAATTATAATAAATTATGTATTTGCTTGTGTTATCATTCAAATTCAAAATTCAAAAATGTGTCCCAATTGAAATCTTTGATTATGTAACTGGTGTTATTGCTAATAACGAGAATATATTATGTGCATAGTGTTAAATAAATATTGTTTAATCAGATTATTTAAAATCTTCATGTCCATTTATAAGTATACATTCGATGCATATTTATCGATTTGTACTAATAGCTTAGTATTAGTAATTATTTGACTATTGTTGCTAATTAATTAAATGTATGATGATAATTAATTAATAAGAAGAAATAAGATTTTATACATTAGAAAAAATTAAACAAATTTATGTGAGCACTTGAATAAATTTAAATTTAAAATTTCTATTTTATCCACTTATCCTAAAAAAATGTATTTAAAAAGAATATATTTTAAAAAGTAAAAGAATAATAACAAATGCATGGTTTCGTTAGAAATATTTATTTAAAAAACAAATTCATTTAACATGGACATGGCACTAAAATTTCTTATTTTCATTTAAAATATTTTTTGTTTATAACTAAAAAAAATGTTATCGACTTAAACTTTATTTATAAGTTTATTTATGTTTAAAACTAATATAATTAAGGTATTAAAACATCTTGATTGTTATTTCTTTTTCTAGTTTATTAATTGAAAAATTAGTTAAATATTATTGAATATAAAATATAATATTAATCGCTACAAAATGTTTAATATACTATATTTTAGTATATATTTTTAACTGTTTATTTTAACAATTAAAAAAAAATTTTACATAATAAAATATCAATGTTAGTACAATATATCTAAAAAATTAGAGGGTATAAGTTTGGTTGAATTATACAATTAACTGGCAATTACTTTAATTACAAAAAACGGAACGATTTTAATTTATAGTTATATATAATAATTTATAAAACACTAAAATTATTAATTCTCTAACTTTAAACTTAAAAGAAAAACAAAGATTTTTTTAGTATATTTATAAATTCTGAAATCTTTAAAAAGCAATTTAATTAAAATAAAAGAAAATAAAATATTTTACAAAAAACAAATTTTAATTAAGAAAAATTTTCTTCGGGTAAATAATATGAATATTAGTATTTAAAAGTTTCTTTTAATATATTTTATTTTTACATTAAAAATATAAAGTATTGTATATATAAAAATCTATATTGATGTTTTTTTATGTCTGGAAAAAGATATATTTTATATTTTCTGTACAATTTCAATAAATATATATAAATAAATAAATGTATATATAACTATATATAAATAAATATAATAAATAAATAAATATATATATATATATATATCTTATATTAAAGGATAAAAAATAATTCGTAAAATTTCAAACACAGTATAAAAATTAAGATATATTAATATAGAATTTATTTTTTAAAAATTTTAATTTCTAATTTTATTTTATCATCATAGTATGTTTATAATAATTTTTTATTTACACGATTGAATAAATGTATTAACTAAATATTTTTATGTTATCACATCCTTTTTAGGATTTTTTTTTGAAAGATGATACACTGCAGGCAAATTGTTATTGTCTATTTTTCACAACAAAATATATCTAAAATTACTTTGAAACATAAAAATATATCTGCTTTTTTATTTATCAATTTTTTAAATAAAAAATTCTATTGTATTCAAAGCATTTCGGAACTATTAATAAATAAAACTGAGGACTAAACTAAGGGTTGCATATGAATTCTCAAATATCTATAATTGTATTATCAATTCTATTAATTTAATGTATGAAGGCATAGCTTTACACATAATTTAATATTTTAAAACAAGCTTGAATAATTTATAATGTAGAATACTAATTCCTAAGTTGAAATGAAATATTTGGAACAACAATATGTTGAATATAATATTTAAAACTATATAGAATAACTGGAACAGCTCTGGAATTCTATAAATTATTATAATATAATTTAATTATAGATAATAATATTAAAAAAGAACATGATTTTCGCACCTAATGAAACTTTTCTGATTCATTCTCCTTATTTCGAATTCATAAATTGATCACACTAACATTTGTGCTACTGGTAACAAAAAGTTGATTGCGGTTAAATTTCTTTTATTTTTTATTTCATTTTTAAAGCACCTCAAATGTTAACTTAACTCTATTTAAGAAATATTGTAGCAATCCAGAGATTTGACAATCAATTATATAGTTCAGAATTAATTTTTATAAACCTAATTAATTCTTCAAAATATTGTAAAGCTCTCCACAATTCAATCAATTAATTTATTGTGATGGTAGATCGAACCTTTTCTGTTATGGATTTTACGATAAATTTAAAAGCTTTATATGGCTACCTCTATATACATATACATATTAATTGCTGTATTTAGACAATGATTAATACATTACTATTTTAAATTTTGGTAATCTTTGTTACCAAAAATATACCCATGAATTTTAGAAATAAAAAAAATTTTATTCTGTCAGTGGCTCATCATTTTAGTATGAATTACTATGTCAATGTTACGAATTAGCTACAATAGTAATTAAGTTTAGAGCCTAAATACAGAAAACATTTTTATGTTCAATGTCATTACTTTCGAAAAGTATTTGCAATTGAGTTGAAATTTATGTATATAGTTATTTTAATAAATTTAATTAATTTTAAATGTAAACAATATTAAATGAACAATTAATTCAGAATATTATTAAATAAAATTATAAACATTAACAATTATTATATTGTTGAAGAATAATATTATAAAAAATCAAATTTTCATTGGATAAATTTTATACAAAATTACCAACATTATAATTTATATTGATTAAAATATGTAATTTAAATGATTTTATATGAACCACGATATTGTTGGTGATTCAAATACAAAATCAATGACTTTTAATTATTTCACATTATGATAAATCTGCAAAATATTCTTGGAACGATTTATCTACACACTTATGTCCATACACATGATTTGCTTAGCTTAATATGTACAAAATATTAATTAAATTAGTAAATTCAATTTTTTGTAACAAATGAAGATTTTTCAATAAATTTTTTAGTGTAAAGTGTATTGCTACATACAAGTATAACAATATATATATATATATATATATATATTTATATGAATTTTTATCATAAACAAATAATAATCTATTGTTATAACTTTTAGTATCAATGAAAACATTAAGAGAAAAAATTAAAAGCAATATTAAATTTATTTATTGTATATGATATGAAAACACACTTAAATGTAATATCGTTAATTACAAAGTTATATTTGTCAGGCCAAAATTAATTCACATGATAGACGCAGATGATATCATTATTATAAAATTATAATGACATATCAATTTAATGTCATATCGTTTAATTTGAATATTATAATAATATTCATTATCTAGATAATTACTGAATTGATCTATGATGATTTCCTCCGAGTAAAACCTACACGAGACATTTTTTATTGTAATAATAATAAATAAATTTACAATAAGTTAAGAAAAGGTTTTAGCTGATCGAAGAATTATCGATGCAGCCACGGTAAAAATTACAAATTAGGATGTAATCATACGTAAAATAATATCGGGATCGTCGTTTTACGGTTTGGGACTACAAAGGCTGAGATCAACAAATGGTCGTGCACATGCGCGAGCCCCAAGCATAGAGCAGTGAACAAATGTGTTGCGTGTCCTGGCGCGCTCACTTTTCAGTGATTCATGGAGATAGGTAGAATTGTTTGGACGACTGTATACAACATAGTTATTTGTATCTATTCAACCATATTATTTTATATAACAGTAACAACTGTTTGTACCGCTATGCTCTATCACGAACGCGACGAGAAAATCCAGTAAAAAAGGAAGAATACGAGGCCCGCGCCGGAATATTCATTGTAACATCGACGGCGACATCAAGAAAGTAGAGGGGATTGTAACATATAAACGGAGCCCTCTGCGACATAATTTGAAATCCCCCGCAGCAGCTCCCTACGTACGTTTGCGTGGACGTGTGTGTGCGTGCATGCGCAAGGATCACCAGAAGTAGCTTTGACTTAGTTCGTAACGAGTTTGTAAAGAGATAGTACAGCAGCAAAATGGCAGCGAGCGACACGTACGGGGACGACAGCCTCTACCCCATCGCGGTGCTTATCGATGAGCTGAAGAACGAAGATGTACAGGTAAGCTGCTGTTCGTGTGATATTTCACAGCTTGTGGATCTCCTTCACGCTGGTAAAAACACGCGATCTGATGAGGTTGCCCGGGCAGCTCAGTGTTAACCGGTTGCGATATCTCTTCCTTCTTTTTGATATGCATGTAACATGCATATACTATACGTGTACACACCCATCGCTCCTCATGAATGCATGCAGATGATGCACTTACACGCATGCGAACATAACACAGCGTACAAATGTTAAACAAACACGATGTACGAATGTATTCGCGTGCACATATTATACATTAATTTTATACGGCTTGTAAAGACGGACTGACACGCGGTTCGAACAAATTTGTTTTTGATGTCATTAAAGATACTGGATCTGTCATTGATATTGTAATTGAAACACGCTATACCTATTTTTAATTAAATTTTTCCCTTGGTTTCTCTTTTCATTCGTAATTTAATTTGAAATTAAGAGCTTACAATTTTTTGTATACACTGACCAATAGCATTAAGTTTCTGTATTATAACTAAAATATAATAATGATGCTTTGAGAAAATAAAATTTTTTGTTGTATTTTCTTGGAATAGAATACAAAGTAAAAATAAATTATAATAAGAACAAGGATTTAAAACTATCTTTATTCATATACATTTCATCAATAAATTTCTTTTCAGCTACGATTAAATTCTATTAAAAAATTGTCAACCATTGCCCTTGCACTTGGTGTTGAACGCACTCGTTCAGAACTGATACCGTTCCTAACAGAGACAATATATGATGAGGATGAAGTACTTTTGGCTCTTGCTGAACAATTGGGAAATTTTACACCACTTGTCGGTGGACCAGATTTTGTGCATTCTTTACTAGTAAGTTCTATAAATTAAAATATTAAAATATTTGTTTAATAAATAAAAATTAATTAAATTCTTATTTTAGCCTCCTTTAGAACAGTTAGCAGCTGTTGAAGAAACTGTTGTTAGAGATAAAGCTGTAGAATCTTTAAGAAATATTGCAGCTCAGCATAGTGCAGCCGATCTAGAAGAACATTTTGTACCATTAGTTCAGCGTCTTGCTTCTGGTGATTGGTTTACGTCAAGAACATCAGCGTGTGGTTTATTTAGTGTATGTTATCCTCGTGTATTTCAACCAGTTAAAGGTACATAATTCACTATATATCTATGTGATAATAGACTTATGTAATAAAAATAATAACTTTTCATTTGTAAATGAATATAATGTTCAGCTGAGTTAAGGAGTCATTTTCGTAATCTGTGTCAAGATGATACTCCTATGGTACGACGGTCAGCTGCTGGAAAATTGGGAGAATTTGCTAAAGTTGTTGAAAATGAATATTTGAAATCTGATTTAATTGCAATGTTTGTTATTCTGGCTCAAGATGAACAAGTAAGTTGATTAAATAATATTGTAATCACAAGTTAATATTAAGTAATTATGAAAATTAGTCTTATATATTCTTACAAATCTATTTTTTTAATGTTTTTTATAAATTCAGTTATATTAATTTTGTTACTAAATACTCTAAAATTATTTTTTTTATTGTTTAAGTATTACAAAATTAAGTACAAAACTTTTAATTTATTTAATTTAATTCATTATACATATTTAATTTGAATTAGATACGTTTATTTTTAATATAAGAATGCACAGAAGATTACTTATCATTATATATTTGAATTATAATTATAATAAATATTGAATATAAATAATAAATATTTGAATATACTTATCATTATGTAATTGAACTATGAGATAAAAGTTTTTCTTTAATTATTTTATTTTCCTACTATATTAGTTATTGGATATTAAATTATACATATACATTTTATTGTGCTTTATTTTAGCATAAATTTTAATAAACTTCAACCTTGAATTATAAATATGCATTATCAAAATTAAAATGTTCATATTCTAATTTTATCATTTTCAAATAGTATATAATATATCAATAATATAAAATAAATTAATTTATTAATGAATATACTTTTATGAAAAATAAAACAAAAAGAAGAAATTATTTATAAACATATTAAAAAATTATAAATTTAAAATTTCTAAATGGGTTTTTTTTTTTTATAAAAAAGCTAATTATTGTTTATAGTATATAAAATGATTCATAATATTTATTCGTGCTATTGAAAAATAAGAGATGAATGCATGTGTTATTTAACATTTAAGTTTTTAAAATTTTAGTACTTATTTTTATTAATCTTTCTAATGCAGTTTTATTTTTTATTATGTAAAAAAGTTGTAATAAGTAAATATTAATGTTTTAAGAATTGAAAGAAATGAAGTTGTTTATTTTTTTTTCGTTTTTAGAAATTTTTAAGATTAGTTATAAATATTACGAATTTGTATTGTACCAGAAAATAATATAATGAAAAATTATTCTGATAGTGTACCTGCATAATAAATTACCAATCACGTAATTTTTTAATTATTTAATAATATTAATAAAATAGATTAAATGTTAATATATCACAGATTGAACTGAATCAAATTTATATTAAAATACGTATAATTTAACATTTTTAGTTTTTACTTTTTTAATTTTCGTTTTAGTATTTATTTTTTTTATCTTTTCGTTATAATATATTTATTTAATGTATTCATATTAATAATTGATCTATTTTCACAAGTAATAAACATTGATAATTTTTTTGGAAAAGGATTCCGTACGGCTATTGGCAGTGGAAGCATGTGTGTGTATTGCGACACTGCTACAACAAGAGGATGTCGAACAATTGGTGATGCCAACTTTGCGACAATGTGCGACTGACCAGTCATGGCGTGTGCGCTATATGGTGGCTGACAAATTTACCGATCTCCAAAAAGCTGTTGGTGAAGAAATTACGCGTGCTGATCTTGTCCCGGCCTTCCAGGTTCTTCTTAAGGATACGGAGGCAGAAGTTAGAGCAGCAGCAGCCGATAAGGTTCGCGAATTTTGTCAGTATCTTGATCCATTCCATCAAGAATCGATCATCATGACAAACATATTACCATTCGTAAAAGAACTCGTGGCTGATCCAAATCAACATGTCAAATCGGCTCTTGCTAGTGTTATCATGGGTCTTAGTCCCATACTTGGAAAAACGAAGTAAGTGTTTTTAAGAAGTTTTGGATGATTTCATTGCATAGATTTTTTCATATACCATATATTTATATCCTTAGAAAAGTTATATTTATAATATATATTTGCATAAAATAATGAAATAATATTAAAATTATATAAATATCTTTATATTAATAAAAATTTGAAAATAAATTTTTTATCAATATTTTAATAATGGATATTCAATTAAGGAATTCAAAATTTTCATTAAATGCTAGAATGCATCTTGGATTACAACTGCTAGTTGAAAGTTAATATTTATGTATTAACCATTTATATACAGCATTTGATATAAAAATCTTTATTTAACTATAATTAAAAGTATATGATTGATTAAACAATAAAAAAATATATATATGTAAATTGTCTCTATAAGAAACAAAGTACAAAATTATGGATTGATTACTACATGATTCTAAATTCTAAATTAAACCAATTTCATTATACATTTGTAATAAATTGTAATTTATATAAACGCTTTACTTTATTATAAAATAATTTATTACATTTTACCAATAACTTCTTAGACATCTTGATATCTTAAAATTTTTCTTTGTGAACGATATTTATAAATTTCGCTAATGAATTATTGGTTTCGTGTGAAATAAATATTAATAAAATTAAATGTTGTGATTTTACAAAGTAACGTAACAATATTTAAATCTGTACCATTATTTTGTATTTATATTTTTTGTATGTATAGATATTTTTGATTCGTTCGCATTGTACATGACATTTCATAGCAAAAAAGGTTTTGTAATGCGGAAGACTTTAATATCGTTTTGTTTTTATATGCACTTGAAGCATAGCTTAGTTTGTTTTGATCATTTCTTGAAGGCGGTAGTATTAAATAGGAGCAGATAAAAACAAGTTAAAAATACGAAAGAAAGATATGAGGATTAGGCAAACAGAATTTTTGTGAAAGTTCTTCATCAACGTATAGTTATATTTTAATTAAACATACAAGTTCGATTTCATATAATACGCGAATCAAATGACATATGTTCGTGCATCTAGGTATTATAAATCTAAAAATAGTCTGTAATAAGAATGTATATTTCCTGGTTTATTATTATTTAGAAAGATTTTTTACGTTACTTTAAAAAGTACATTTTATTTTTAATAAATTTCTAAATTCTTTATAACACCACTAAGGTCATTGATTTATTATTTAAAATATATAGAGTAAAATATATTTTTCCGATAATGCAAAGATAAATATTTATTTCTATGGTAAAATTATCGAATTTATTTTTTAATCTTTGAAAATTATTATATTGTTACGAAAACAAAAATTTATTAAATATTGTACAAGAAATTAATCTTTGTGGAATAATTAGTCAAAAAAAAAAATATATAAATGCATAGTTACATTATTTCAGGAACTTTAAAAATCAATATGAAAAAAATCACTCCTATAACATATAATTTAAACTTTTTATATAAACAATATAAATAAATAAATAAATATATATATATAACATTTTTTATTTTATTTTTAGCACAATTGAACATCTATTACCCTTGTTTTTATCACAACTTAAAGATGAATGTCCTGAAGTACGTTTAAATATAATTAGTAATTTAGATTGTGTAAATGAAGTTATTGGTATCCAGCAACTATCGCAATCACTATTACCAGCCATTGTTGAGTTGGCAGAAGATTCAAAATGGAGAGTACGACTCGCAATTATTGAGTAAGTTTATTTTGTTATACATATAATTAATTGATAAATATTAATTTATAATTTTGTATGTATATATATTAAAATAATGAATTGAATTTTAATTTATTGACATTCATGATCTAAAATAATTTAGTTGGTATGTACTAATACAATTGATTATTGTTTAGGTATATGCCTTTATTAGCAGGTCAATTAGGTGTGGAATTTTTCGATGAAAAGTTAAATTCATTATGCATGACTTGGTTAGTTGATCATGTTTATGCTATTAGAGAAGCAGCTACATTAAATCTGAAAAAGCTTGTTGAGAAATTTGGTCCAGAATGGGCACAGAATACAGTAATTCCAAAAGTCCTTGCAATGTCAAGAGATCAAAATTATCTTCACAGAATGACTTGTTTATTTTGCATTAATGTAAGTTTAACTATACAATAGTATTTATTTAAAAAAATTTGTCCAAATTTGCAAAAGAAATATGAAACATTTTATTTTTTAGTATTTCATATTTTTTATTTTATATATTTTGATTTATATTTTGATTTTATTTTATAAATTTTATATATTATGAATATTTTCATATTCATATTATTTTATTTAAAATAAGATGTAAACATTACTTTAAATGTTATATTGATAAAGAACATTATAGAATAACATTATATAATGTATTTATGTAATTTATATAATGTAGTTATATATGTTAAATATTACAATAATTTTAATGATAACTATTAAATTAAAATAAAAATTAAAAAAATTTCTGTAATCAATAAAGTATTAAAATAAAGATATTTTTTAATAAAGAAAATTTAATAACATTGATATTTACTACATTACTTACACATTCAATATAAAAAACTCTCAACATTAGTTTTCAAAATTTTATAAGATATAAAACTTACAACCACAATGACTAAAGAAGGTTAATTCTATAATTTCATTTATATTGAAAATATCAATTTATATTTCATTAATTATGTCTACCTGAATTAATTTACAATTTACAACTTATTAATTAAAATTCTTGTGTGATATAAGTATAAATATATTTAATATTTTAGGTGTTAGCAGAAGTTTGTGGTCCGGAAATCACGACAGAAGTTATGCTTCCGACAGTTTTGACTATGGCTAATGACAATGTAGCAAATGTAAGGTTCAATGTTGCTAAAACACTTCAACGGATTGGACCATATCTTAAACCTAATATAGTGCAGACACAAGTTAAACCTGTTCTTGATAAATTAAACACAGACACTGACGTTGATGTCAAATACTTTGCATCAGAAGCAATTGCTGGTATCGCAGGTATATAATTTATAAAAAATTTGTATACAACTTAATTAAAAATGTTTAAAATACGTACACATGTTTAATTAAAAAAAAATATATTTAAAATATATATTTGAATATATTTTCAAAGTCAAGAATATAAAAGTTTGAAAATATTTAAATAATTTATAATTAACTTTATTTAAATATTATTTTTAAAATATAACAATGTAATATCGAATATAGTTTAGGACAGTTAAATAATTAATGATATATTTAAATTCATTTTAATTACTTTATTCATATATTTCATTTTTATTTCGTATTTCAGCATAAATTGAAACAACAAAATAGTGAATATATTTACTGCACACCCCAGTGTAGGCAATATCAGCTTACCAGGAATGTATTACGACCTCATTGTTTCCAAGGAAAAGTATACTTGACAAATTCGTTAATGAAAATTTATCACTTAAGCGAGCCAAGTACCAATGACGGAAATAAAATACAAAAAGATTTGAAATTTTAGAAATCACTTTACACAATATTTTTAGTTCTAATGTATTTGAATATATATATATTACACTGAATATTTAATATTTAATTAAATTGGTATCATGTATCTCTCGTAAATACTTAAGTAAGTGTCTTAATGAATATTTAATAAACAAAATCACTTTGAACTTTCAAATCTTTTGATTTACACCACACATACATACATACATGCACGCGCGCGCGCATTATACAATACTCAAAACATATATATACATGAGCAATCACATTAAAATAGCAAAGAGAAAGATATACAAGAAAACTTTGGAAATGTAAAAATAATATAATTGCTTTAAATATTTTTTTTGGTTAAAAATAATTTAACTTTATGAGACTCGATTATTTTCATTTGATGCATATGTGTTTTTTAAATTGAACATTTTTATATTACCTGACGATACAAAATATAATTTTTAACTTTAATGTATTATTATACTTTTACACTTCTATAAACATAATTGAATTATCAATAAACATCATTTTTTATAATCAGTCAAATTGAATAGACATGGGCGGGGCTGTAATTTAAACTTGTTCAATTGTAGATTCGTCTGTTTAAAATCAATATATAATTTAATCGCATTCGTTTTTGATAAGGCAGATAATAATTTTATATCACAAATATAGATTTTTTAAGACGATGTGTATAAATCAACCAATTATCGTTGGTGCGAATCTTGATATTTTCCATTTGAGAAAAGTCAATGGTTTCAGTCCTTATATTTCATTTTACAATAATTGCACGTGATTATGAAACATACTTAAACGATATAAGGTTTTTTTTAAACAATTTAAATTTTTTATGCAAAACAAAATTCAACTATTTACTAAATTCACCTGATGCTGTATACACTGTTCTCTAACGTTAACATTTCCACGAGAATCGTTACGGTTATATATTATATAACATAATAATATTATAACAAAATAGTCATTTTTAATTAAATTTGCTTTACTATATACAAAAACAAACAATGACACTGATTGAACTTCGCAATTTATGTATCATAAATTTTTTTTTTAAATGATATCTTACAAAATTAAATTAGTGTCTTCAAAGAATTAATAGTACAGTATGTAGTATATAAATAATAATCTGTAAATTTAGATCAAAGTTCGCAATTGTAATAAATTATTATATTTTCAATGTAATACTTTTATTGTCTAATATGTTTTAATAAAATAAAATTATTACTAATTTAACTATTTTTAAATTATTTATTTTTTCATTAATTTGCTTACAATATTTATATTGTTTTAAATAATTGTGCATTTGGTGTGAAATTAATAATGAATTACTTAACTGAATCTAACACAGTATGGTAAGGAAAAAATAAATTTCAAAAATATTCTTAAGAATTATTACTCAATTCCTTAAGTTGATAGTATAATATATTTTTTTTATAATTATCTTTATAATTGCATACAACCCAAATTTATATAAAAATTATAGGAAAAATTTTTTATTTTTAATTGTAAATGTATGAATCTGCAAATCGTGTATTTATATAAAAAAACAATTATGGTCACTATTATTTATTACGAAAGTAATAATATTACATTATTGTGTTAATATTGAATAAGTTTTTAATTTGTGATAAAAAATTATAAGTTTGAACAGAATAAACACTTTGCATGATTATCATCCACAACAAAATTGCGAAAATTGTGCTACATACACTCTTGTGCCAAGAAAGTTTTGCACATCTTCATCATTAAAATTATTTTATCACCCAATAAACGTATGTTTTAATGAATCGATACAATATTTCGCAATGGTAAATACAAGTTTCAATTAACACATAGAAGATAAAGGAAGCAAGCATTGAGTACTTAAATTTTAATAATTGATCTTAATGATGTCGCACTTAATTTTAAATGTATTGAATTCGACTTTCAGGAGTAAATCTTTTTAATTAAATAATATTAGTAGATTTTCAATAATTTACATTTAAGTTAAATGCATCATTTTTATATATAATACAGAAAAACGAAAAAACAAGTCTACGAAGTTAAAAAAAAAACATAAGACATTAAAACAAAATATTTAAGATTTGTAATATTTATTGAATTATCTGAAAATAGAATTCAATATTTTAATAGTATTTATGAAAATTCTAACTGTTTTATAATCGAAATTCAACTCTAGTAATTACTAGACTAAATTTTGTTTTATTTATATATCAAGGACATAAGTAAATGCACGCGCGTATATATATATACATATATATTAAAGTTCAATATCAAAAAAGTAGCTGAAGAGAATCAGAAATGAGAAAATATATTCAATACATTTTCTATTGTTATGAAAAGTCGGTTTAATATTAAAGGTATGACGATGACTTTTTCCAGTGATAAATGTCGATTGGGTGCCAAGAGTAACTAGTTTGTTTAATCTATTAACAATTAAATTAACATTACACTCAAATATCAAACATTTTTATTTTAAAATAAATAGTGCTTACTCGTTATTCATTCTAAACAGAATTTTGTTTGCATAGATTTATACATTTAGAAAAATTATTTTCTAGAATGATTGCATTGCATATATCCACACAAGAATGTTTATGACACATATAAGTATCAAGGTTAGCTTTATTCAATGAATGATTCGATAAGTGGCCCGGATACAGCATATCAAAGCAAATTAGATGTTAAAAATACTTTCATTTGATAATTTATTAATTTTTAGAACTATGCCTTTAATATTAATAAAACTACAAGTTTATGCAATAAATTGAAAATTGTGAAACTTTGCAGATGGTGGTTATTATACCTTTGAATTATCATTGTACACACTTATATTTTGCAAATTATCAATGGTTTTGTATAGAGTTACTTAAATCGTATTATATTTAAATTGGTAGTTATACAGTAATAAAATAAATATGAATTGTTTATTATTTTGATCATTGATTGTAATATCAAAAGTAGTAATACGAATACGCGATGAATAAATTTGCATGCTTGACTATAGCAATGCTCATTTTGGTATTAAGAAATCAAAGAAAATTTAAATTGTTTTGTTACAAAAATTTTAAGCTATAAAGAATATCTGATTAATATTGTTTAAAGTAATATCGAAAATTAATATCGATAAAAATAAAATAACATTTATTACTATGAGACTTTATATACAATAAATTATTTTTGAAATTGAAATTTTTATCGAATGCGTGCTATAAACGGAAGATTTGTGATTATGAGAAATGATGCAATATTAAAAATAAATATTTCACTTAATTATTGTATTTTCTTATCTCGTTTTGGTTGCAATTAAGTCTAATTATTATCTAATGAAATATTAAATTTTTTAATATCCTTAAAAATAGATATTTCAATTCTTAAATTCTATTATTATATGTGTAGTAACGAAATCACTTAATCGTATAATTTATTATTTTTAAATAGAAAACAGAAAACATATTATGATTTACAATTTTAAACAAAAATTGTTTTTATTTTTTTTTAATAAATCATTAAATAAAAAATAAAGATAATAGCAAAACAGACAATTAATTTATATAAGCAACAATTTTTCTTTTCTAACAAAAGTTTGTTTCATTTTTAGTAATTTTATTTAATAACAAATTCATGAAAGTAAAGCATATTAGTTATTTATTATTCAGTGTAAATAATTATCTAAAACGTAATTTAATAACTGGAATTTATATAAAAGAAAATTTATAAAATATAAAAATAGATGCATTTAAATTACCGATTGAATAAATAGTATATGTACTTTCAATACTGTTCAACTGAAAATATTTAGAACAATGCAATCAATCAATTTTAATATTTTTATAATTAATATATATATATATATATATATATATATTAAACGAAAGGTCAATTATATATTTATTTTATTTTTTCTGCATTCTATATTTTAAGTAGTTTCTTTTTAAATTTAAATAAATATCAGTTATAAATTTATTTAAAAGTTATCTACTTTTTAAATTTTCTTTCAGGTCAAAAATGTTTGACCTTCATTTGTAGTCAAGCATTTTATATTTATTTAAAGTATTTTAATATTTTATATTACTAAAATGATTGTTCATTATATAAATAGCGTAGAAAATAGGTCACAACAAAAATAATTTCTCACTCAACTTTGTTTCCTATACCGAAAGCTAAAAACGAGATAAATGTAATTAGAATTAGTTATTTAATAACGTTTTTTAGATTATGAAATAGATAGGTTAATTATTCTAAATACCTACAATCATTATTAATAAATTAATGGCTTTTTTACAAATAAACAAATTTATATTACTTACTTATTAGTTTAATTTTAGTATCTAATTAGAAAACTATATGTTATATAAATATACATATTTATATGAAAAATAAAAATAAAACTCGTTACAACTAAATAAAAAAGAATAACAAGTGATTTCTTAAACTAATCAATAATTTAGAACAAAATTATGAAAAATATAATTAGTTATTTTTCTTAATATGAAAAAATATTACAGCAACTTTTTACTTTTAAGTAACAAATATTATATTTAAATTATTTTTTATAAATTAAATATATTATATTTATTTACAATAGTATTTGAAAGAAATAATAAATATTCTGGGAAGGTAACACCTAAGTAATTAATGGTTAAACTATATATATATATATATTTACTATATACACACATATATATATATTTGTAGTAAATGAATATAACATTCAATTAATTTACATTCATTATAATAAAATATTTTTAAATAGCTTTTATATAATTATACTTAGATCAGTATACCATACCCAAAAATGTAAGTGTTAAATTTTTGAATTAACAAATAATAAATTTAGAAAAATTAATCATTTATAAGTTATTGATGTCCTGAGAATATCTATAATTATAATTTTTGTTTTAATTAAAGTTATTTTATTTAACTTGACATGAGTAAATGTACATATTTATATTGTTAACATTAATATAATAAATTACATTTGAAATTACTTTAAATAATTTATCTGCATTTATATATTTATTGGATACATTATTAAATTATTTAAAAATATTAGAAATTGCCTTTAAATGAATATATTTGTAAAAATCTTTGTTAATTTTAATACTATTTAATTGATGATGAGATTGTTTACCTTCTATTTTCTTTTTTTTTATACAAACAAATAAGTTACATATTAATACTTACAATTAATCGGTTGGTATTTATGTAAATAATAATTATACTTTTCTTTTTAAAGCATCTTGTTTTTATCACTCAATCTTAATCTTTTTATCTAACATTTTTAATGAATGATTCGAAGAAGTATAAACGAGACACACAGCTATTCAAAAGAAACATGAAACAAAAGTTATGGAATATAGTGAAGTGTGAGCTTATACTAGTTCTCTAACATGTTATGATTAATATTACAATTTACAATTGACCTACCAGTAATGTCATCAAAAACATTGTAAATAAACATACATCGGTATTGAAGTAACAAAAAAATTAGCAATGCTCCTATTAAAATTAAGAATAAATTTTGATTTCTCAAAATATTTGTTTTAGATATTGAATATTTCGTATACGAATATATTGAATGTTTGGTAGATAAAAGTATAGATAAAAGTATAGATAAAAAAAAAAGATAAAAGTAATTCGTGGAACCTTTATTTTACAGTTTCAAGCTACTGATTTTATTTCTAGTAGCTTAGAATATAAGTTGTAAACATTGTTTGTAATGTGTAATATTTTTATCTTTAAAAGAAAAAATATATATATTATAAAAGTATTATAAAAGCTGTATTATAAAAATAATTTAAAACTTATATAAAGTATATTTCGATTTTATATAGCTAGAATATTTCCATAAGTTATTTTTGCATCAGAGATTAAATCGAATGAAAATAATGCAATAATCATACTCATAATAAAGGTTTGTAAATATATAGATTCACTTCATTTATTATATATAATAATTTAAATAAAATAACAAATTTTATTACAGTTTATTTAAATTTATCTAAAGTATTGAAAAAAATAATTAGATTTCATCTTCTATTTCTGTTAATCAGTTATAATTTTTGGATACAATAATATTAATTTCAAATACAATTAATTAATATTTTTAGTTCTGTTTAGAATACTTTAAAATTAATAATGATGGATGTAAAATCATGCTTATAAATTAAAATTATTAATCTATTCAAATTCAAATGATAATCAATTACTTTAGAATGAAGTTGATTTTATAATATAGTATTTTAATTATAAAAGTATGTACAAAAGCCACAGAACACCTCTTGTATCTTTATGTGAAGTAGAAAGGGGCTTATGTACACCATGAAAAATCCTGTTAAGCACACTCATAAATTTATTTTTAAAATACTTTTTTTTAACTCGTTGATAATTATATATAAATAATACACTAAGTATGTTTTTTTATTGAAATATATTCTTTTTTTCAATAAATTGTTACATTCGTTACGATTTTTCCTGAAGATTTGAATTTTACAATTTATAATCCGGATTGTCGCAAAAACTAATTTATGAAATAAAAGGAGAAACAACTTCTTCACTAGCTAAGGTGCGTAATAATGTACAGAAAACAAGGAATATGAGATTGATTTCATTAAAACAATGTATAAAAAAGTGAATAAGATTATAGAAGTTACATACAAAGTGAAATGAAAATACTTATGTATAACGAAGTTAGAAGTAAAACATTATAAAATATTTGTATTATGCATAATAATCATATGCGTGTCCATTTATAAAAAATCTCGTACATGGGAATTCGTCTTCTAACAATAAAAAATCTCGTACAAGTGAATTTATCTTCTAACAATAAAATTACTACTGCCATTATTATCTGGAATAACACTTCAACCATCCACCTTAAAATAGGTATGGGGACCCATAGTAATGTGTAGCAATTGAAAATGGACAAAGATAAATCTTAGTTTTATTTTTATTCTGTTAATCTTAATATTAATGATTTCTTAATCATTATGATCGTTTTTTTTCATAATTTTATAAGTGATTATACTTATGACAGATAGTCGCGTTTATCAATGTAAAATATTTATTGTAATTAGACTGGATGCTATTTTATAAGATCTTGATATAAAAAAATTTTTCTTTAATTTACAATATTAAAGAATTTATTCATATTTAATTTAAAGTATTTTTTAAAGAGAATAGAAATGTAAACCAACATTTCAACGGGTTTTTTCTCATTTTGTTTCCACTTAATAAACATGAATACAGAAATAAATTTATCTATCAACTTCATAAAATACAGATAACGTGTATCATTGTAAAGTATTCAGAAATAATGTTAATGTACCAGATAAAGACGTTTGAATATTACATTTATGAGTTCTATACCTGTTAATTTAAAATATCATAATATTAAATTTTCAAAAAATTTTGATTGTAGAGTTTTGCTTTTTGTTTGCAATTTTGTATTTTGTGCTTTTTTAAATAATTCAAATTACATTTTTAAATGTGGTCAACATATTTAATTCTTGATATTCTAAAATAACTATTAAAAATAATATATGGCACAATAGATATATTGACCATTATTTTTTATTCATGCATACGTAAAAATATCAATGAATAATTCATCATAATAATAATAGCAGTAAAAGAATAATACTATATTTTGAGGATATATATAACTAGATGAATGTTATTTATTATATATATATATATATATATATATAAATATATATATAATTACAAATTAAAGTACAAAATTAATTGTCGAGTAAGAGGTTAAAATAAACAATGAATTAAGATTCAAAAGTTCACAATAGTTTTTAAAATATTCTTAAATAAAAATCCTAAAGATAGTAGGAATTAGATATCTTCAAGTGCTTTTCACACTGCATTAAAATGATTTTAGTGGAAATGAATTTCATAATATACTTTGAAATAGAAATAGATTCACCATTGTTGATAGAGTAAATTAATTTCATATCATTGGTTTTACCTTTTAAACTAGATCTGCATGAAATAAAATATTTTAGTTTAAAAATATTTAATAAATATTAATAGGATTACTTTAATGTCCAATTTTCGTTATATTTTACATGAATTTTTTTATTTCATAAGAAATAAGAATATTCATCAAAATCAAAATATTCACATTAAATAATTCATACGGTTGATTTTTGCATTATTTCGTTCTTATAGAATATTTAATTTTCTACAAATCAGTAACTTAAGTTGTGGTATAAATCTACATAATTCATGAACGATATATTTTCGAGCAATTATGAAGATATTTTATTATAACAAAGGATACCTACAAATCAGTAGAACCATTTGTTGATATGTACAATGTCAAAGTAAAAAATAAGCTTATCATATTTGTTATGTGCTTTCATGAATTATTTTTAGAAATTTAAATTTCGTATATTAAAGATGGTAAAAAGATTACATCATGTATTAATATTAGATTTAACGTTATTTATAATTGACTCTAGGATCATTTAATAAAATCCCACAATAGACTAGTACTTATTTTTAACTGGATACCAATTGAAAATCCAAAAACGTTACATACAAATACTTTCTTATAAGAAACATCCCACTCCGTTTTTCTTTCATATTTTTTAACTATGCCATTCCCTCATTTACTTATTCTATTTCATTATTATTATTTATCTTATCATTGCTCACTTCCATTTTTTCTTTGTCACATTTTCTTCACTTTGCCAAATCGACGGAGACGCAACGACTGATTGTCGAAACCTGGGTTTCCGAGGCATTTTCTGCACTGACGATATTCAAGGATGAAATTTTAGCTCGTTGGTAAGCCACTACTGTGTTGAGACTCAAAAATCTATAATTTGAATATTTTTTATAAACTTTAGTCGAAAAATATATCGATTATTATACTTAAATTTCTTACGGCATTTATATTATAATCTCTAACTAAATGTAATTATGAAATATTATTACTATTTATTAAATAAATAATTATTAAAATATAAAATATTTTAAAATGTTCTTTTATATATTTGGTATTGATTTATTATATCAATTCATGAAACTGTTTTATATTGAAAATAGTATTTTTTTATATAAATGTCTGTTAATAAGTATTAATTTGTAATACGTTTTAAATAACATATATAAATAAAGATTTAAATAGAACCATTTTTACATCTTTTAGAGAAGAGATGTATATATATTTACGAATAATAATATATTATAACATAAACAAGAGTATATCTTGAAAGTTTGTTTTGTAAAATATATATTTAATAATACAGATAATGTATGTATTAAATAAGTTCAAATATAAATATATTATTAAAAAATTATGTCTAATAAATGAATGTAACAGAAAGTAATAATTTACATACCTTATGCAAACATACATAATTAGGAGTGCTGCACCAGCTGCTAACATTCTAATAATTGGATCTTCAACTAGTTGTATTAATATCCATGCTGCTGCAGATGATGCACACATTGTCACAACAATACCAATTGTTTGTAGCCAGTGGCGAGGGGTTAAGCTATTTTGCCAATCTAATCTACTTGCATGTTCTACATTATATAATGTACCACAGATTTTACATGTCAGACTATCTACATTTGTTGAACTCTGCAATAAATATATAAACACATTTACATGTATAGTTTATTCATATTTTCTATTTTATAAAACCAATTTATTTTAGCGATTCTTTAAAATTTGTAAGAAATTTTTTTAAACTATATACTATTTTACATTAAAATAATCAATTAAATTATATATTCAGTCAATTTTCGAAATTCTATATTTTAAAATGACATAGTTACTGAAGAACATAAATAAATAAATAAAAACATTAATTGATTTAATATAAAAAATGAAGTCTTGCCTCGACAAGCCATCGTCGCAAACAGTCATGATGTACTGCACTAACATCACCTCTGCATTGACAAGGCTGAATTAAAGAACCAGCATCCTGTCTATCAATGTCATAACAAATCCAACAATCTTTGCTACTAATGGAGCTTGAGTCTGTTAGAAATGTAGATTCAACTAAATTACATCTATCCTGTAATTCGATTTCTTTAGGATATTTAGGTTGATCAAGATCCAATTTCTTTAAAATTCTCTTAGGATTTAGAATCCATAATTGTTCAGGGCTTATAGAATATCAATAATTATAAGAAATTAGTATACATATAAATGTTTTTATAATTTGAAAAATATAAACGTACACATATACAGCTGATAGATTTAAAATTTGTATTTGGGGCAATTGAAGTTACATTTAAAATTTTTTTTTTATATATATAATAAATCATATGTAGATGTAACTTTTAAATGTAACTTCAATTTCCCCAAATATAAATTTTAAATCTATCAGCTGTATATGTGTATGTTTATATTTTTCAAATTATATAAACATCTTTGTTGTAGCTTGAAAAAGAAATTTGATTTATAAATAATTTACCTCATACAATTCCAAAGTACACAAGGAAACCATAATGCTACTCCAACCTCAATGACGCGAAAAACCACATCATGCCAATTTCTGCTATATAATGGAACTCTGAAATAGTTTTGAATTATTTTATCAAAATTTATTTATTAATTAATATATTAGTTTAATTCACTATCATAAACTAAATTTACTTGGTTTTCCAGAATTCACTTAATGTTTCACTAAATAAAAATCCAACGACAATAAATAGCATGAAAGCCTGAGATAACAAGCCGAATCTTGATTGATGAAGTTGCGATGTATTCACTTGCTGATGCAATGAATCTGTTGTACTTGGAATTGACTCAAATAATTTTGCCATCACTGGGTCTTCTTCACGAACCATTGACTCGTCAGATATTCTTTTATTTGTTGCAATTGACGCTACTTGATGTTCACTTAAAAAACCACCACGTACCTTTTAAAAAATAAAAAACAACAAATACTTATACTTAAATCAATAAAATGGTCTATAAAATTTATCGAAAAATTTTTCCAAACAATACTTTTACCTTAAAAAATACCTCAATACCATATATGAGGAAAAATATAACAACAATAAATAGTAATACAGCATAACATCCATTAAAAATATGCTTGTAGAAACTCTAAAAAAAAGGAATTTATAAGAAAGTTTATTAATTATACGATAATCTTCATTCAAATGTGTTTTAGAAAATGTATACCTGATCGTCTTGGTCATGAATTTGTGCCGTAATAAATTCCGCTAATAAAAGAGAATATGTGATAAAATTGAAAATCACAAAGGCTAAAAAGGATTTAGAAAGAAACTGTGGTTTATCTGTGCGAATGTCTCTTAAGTGAAAAACTTCAGCCCAAAAGCAAACGATTAAAGAAGCACCACTCAGTACTAATGGATAATATGCAGATAATAAACTTCTGGACCAGCCTGCTTTAAATGCTGTCTGTAAACAATGAAAAATATATTACTCAAAATAATTATGTTTATTAATTATTAATTAATTATAATATTGATCAAAATACAAATATCGATGTATAATTCAGAACCGAAATAAAAAATACTATTCTTATAAATTTAAAATGATTTCAAAATGAAGGCACATTATACTCAAGATTGTAAATTATATCGCATATAAGAAGTTGTAAATAAAAGTTTCTTTTGACGATATAATTATCATAAAAAAAATTTTAAATAAATTTAATACATCCTCTGAAAGCATGTCTAATTTATTAGTATCATTTTGTTCTGATTTGCATTTAATTGATACTTTAAATTAATTTGTTTAAAAAATTTAATTTTTTTAACATATCAAGTAGATTGAATTATACATAAACACTTACTGGAGATGTAAAGTATGCTCCTCGAATCAGTGACGCTAAAAATACAACGAAATACAAGACCTTTTGGGTTGTAACTCGACACGCGCGAAGAAATGATGGTGCCTTCATCTTCTGCCATTCTGCTACTATGCACATGACCAGTTGCGTTAAGCAAATAAATGCCAAAATAAAGAACATGGTGGCAAAAGCAATGTAATAACTGAAATTTGGAACATGGCATTCTGAGCCATCAAACTGAATCTGCAAATGAATATTATTAGTTTAAAACAGAATTTTTATGTATTTTTATATATAAATAATACATAAAGTGTATACGTAGGGATCCTTGTACGATTCATTTATAATTAGGTAAAATTTAAATACTAATTATGTTGATAAAAAAAAATAAAAATTACAGGTATTTTTATTTTTATTTATATATATATATATAATTATTTAAAATAATTAAATAGCTTAAACGTTGATAAAGACAAAAATAATTTTTTAAATAATATAATAGATTAATAATTTTTGTATTAATACCTCACATATGCAGGTTCCATTGTGGCATTCGCCATGGCCAGAACAATTGTCAATTCCACAAGTATTGTTCCATGCCATCATGCTGAACTTAACCAGCAATGACAATGGATTTTGTGAACTCAAAACAATCATTTGTTCCATGATCTTTGACACTCCTTTGGACTGCAGAACTGCAGTCCCCTGAAATATAAAAATTAATAAATTTTAAAATTTAATATTTAAATTGAAGGTAGCATAAATAAATTGCATACTCTCATTATTTTGATATTTACATTTATTATAATTGATTTTTATTAATTTTCTTATAAATAAATAAGCATGAATTGATTATTGCCTAGAAAATATATATTTTTCTCAAGAGATTTTTAATTTCTAATTTTTCAAAACTTCGGTACAATTGTAAATTGAATATTTATAATTATAAAGTGATCGGTGTTTTTACTTTATTTCGATAAAATCATAATTTGAATTGTAATATAAAATTCTACTTTCTTTGTATTATGTTAAAGTAAAAATGCTATTTATGTATTTGTCTTGTTTACTTATATTGCAATCGTACCCCCCCCGGGCTACGTCTAGGTCATTCTGAATTTAGACATGTTAAAAGCCACTATAATCTTTGTATTATAAGATTAATTTTTAGATTAATTAAAGATTATTATTAAAGATTAATTATAAGATTAAGCATGTTTAAGCAATAGAAAATATTTAAATTTAGTTTAGTACGAAAAATTTATCGTATGTATACATCATATATGTGTGTGTGTGTGTTTGTGCGTGCGTGTGTGCGCGCGCGCGCGCGTGCTTGTGCGTGTGGGTGTGTATTACACTGTGTTAATTTTAAATTATATTATTTCATTCATTTTCTATATATAAAATACACATGTACGATCAGTAAACAGCATGGTTAATTTGACTTACTGAGATTGTAGCGATCAATAATAAGATTCATATATTTTTATACCTACGTAATAGTTATTGAAATTATAAATTTGTAATTTCAGATAAATAATTCAATGGCAGTGGTATGTTTGAAATTAAATAACTGTTGAATTTGAAGTTCATTACGTATACATTAGCTATGATGAATTTCAAAGCAGCAACTTCAATTTCTAATGAGTAATTTGAAATAAGTCGCGTACAAGTTAATTTTTATTTTAAATCTATCTTACTTTATTATTTAGTATTTGTAAACGAATTAAAAAATAAATAATTAAAATAACAAATGAAATTCATTATTAATACATTTGTAGCGAATACTTGAATTCAAAAGTAAAAGCGATAATTGACAAAGAATTTATTATGCTTGCCTTTTATCGTCAGTGCAAGAATATGTATTTGTGTTATTAAGTATGCAGTAATTTACTATAAAAACTCTTTATACTTATCTTGTTTAAAAAATTTTTCTAAAAATTTTGAAATACTATACAAACGAAATATATTATTTTTAGAAATTTCTTTCGTAATTTTTTTTATTAAATAACTCAAATCAATTATCGTTATGCAAATAACATAATTACTTTATATAACAGCAAATATGTATATATTATTTAGCCTTGTAATAAAAATATATAGTGAATGCTATTTTTAGAGTATTCTAAGGGTAGGTATGTAAGTTGAAGAAGTTGAGAAATGAGAAGGTTAGATTTGATAAACTCTCCAACAACGATACATAATATACTGTAAAGTTGACATTTTTAGAATCTAGCAAGGAAATTTGTCCATTATTTTTCTTGTATATTTTATTACGTGTATAATTGGAATTATAAGTGCTTGTCTTACTAATTACTAAAAGATAATAGAAAAAAATTAACATGAAAATAGAAGTAAACAATGATAGGTGAACACATAATACTACAGAAATATATGTTACAAAACTTATGGGACATAGACAGCAATACTGTCTTCTTTTTATATTTGTGGTTGTACTTTATATGAAGCATGGAAACGCAAGTAAGATAGGTGATAATTGATTTCATCTCATTCATCAGTAAAATAAATAAACAACTACTTTTTATCCAGAGGAGCTTCAACAATTTATTAGAAGAAGCCTCAACGACATAAGTACCATGCGATTCCAGAGTTCACAGATTTGTATAGAGTAATTGAAATTAAATGGGAATGTTTAGAAAAGACATAAGATTATATAATTTATATATTATATATTTTAGATAGTATTAACTCGATAAATAGAGACTCGTAATAGATAAAAAATTCTTAGAGAATTATTAATTCTTAAAAATCTTATACGGTGAATATAACTTATAAAATGTGAAGGTAATTTGAAAAATTAGTTATAAGTAAATATTTGTTAATTATAAAAGTTTTAGATAGAAATTCTATTTGTAAATTATTTCAGAATACATAAAATAAAAAAAGAAATTGTATATTATAGTTTATTAAGAAAACATTTTCTTTAATAAATGTATTTTATATATTTAATATTAGAATTGTATATACATACATATATAAACATTTTTCTAATATTCTATTCAATTAAGGTTATTAAATGTTCTGATTATTAATTTAAATAGTATTTTATTACATTATAAATTATTAGGTTAATTAATGTTAAAATCAGTGGATTTTGATTTAATAAAATTTAAATTGTTAAAGCAATGTAAAATTAAAAGAAATTAAAATAGATGATTTCAATGCAACAAATATGTATAATTTTTTATATAAATCTTAATACCAATTCAATTAAAGAAAATATTTTTCAATAATATAAGTATAGTAAATAATGATGAAGTATTAGCAAAAAAAATGTTATATTTTATAAAAAAATTAAATATTCATGTTTTAATATATTTTTCTATGCTTAATTACAAATAAATATACAATTACAAATATTATATAATTGGTTTTAATTTGTTTAAAAATTTTTAATGAAAATGCTCTATTTACTTTAAGTTATGTATTTCATTATTTTATAAAATTAATCAAAGTGAAATTTTGGTATATAATAAGGAATTATTTGAATGATATTTTTATTTAGTATTTTCTAAGTTACAATATTTTATATGTAAATATTGATTTAAAAAATAAAAAATTGGAAATACATAAAAACAAAAGTAATAATAGCATTGAATGCGATCTTTCTAAACATTGTTTAAAATTCTATGATTGATTTATTGAATAAATTGTCTGATACAATTGATATAATTCAGAATTATTAATATCTGGCAATAAAAATATAAACATAGTATGTTGGTTCAGTACTGCTTTTAAGGTTTCAATTTTTTTATGATTTTCAATTCACCTGCATGTAAGTCACGAACTCTTAGTCTAAATAATATAAAAAGCTCAGCTTCATTGAAAATCATAAAAAAATTGAAACCTTAAAAGCAGTACAGAACCAACATACTATGTTTATATTTATTTGTTGTGCTGAAGGCATACAAATTTTCTGAGAAGCAGAAGTCTATTGTGCTGACCTATTGTGATTCTGTGATGTCTTCAGTGCAAGTACACTCGGTATCCTTAGCGTAAAGTTATTGGATAATCTACGTATTTCGAAGGTCATTTTTTACAAAATGTGGACAGTTTCAAATTTATTTGCCGAGGTATTTGTCTACGCATTACATTTATTCATAACTAAAAGAAGGAAGAAACATCGAAAAGTACAAATAGTCTTCACTAGAAAATAAATAAGCGGAAGTGCGTATTACACTTTTTTAAATAACATATGCGCTTTTGATCATGCAGTATTTGAATAGAGTATCGTTCACGCAAGTGTGCATGGACAATTACACATCGTGCATGCAAAGTAACATTGATAAATAAATAAATAAATAAATATATAATGTGTACCTGAATCGCGATCGTCCAATTCAATAATGCGCGTCGTAGCTATGGCACGTGAACCTGTCGTCGTTCCCTTTTTTTCTCTTTTTCATTCG